GAGGCTTTAGGAAAGAGCCATTCGCATGCCTTATCAAGTGTAACTCCTTTCGTATTCACATGTCCTCTAGATCCAAACGTGCTTTGTCGGTGTCCTTGTTCTTGCCATCAATGCTCAATAGTGTCCCAAGCAGATTGTCACATATATTCTTCTCTATGTGCATGACATCAAGGTTATGTCGAAGCTTAAGTGTTTTCCAATAGGGTAGGTCAAAAAGAATGCTTCTTTTTGTCCAGTTCGGAGTTGGATTTTTAGTCCGTTGTCTTTTTTGGTTGGTTGGATGCTTTCCATATGGCCTATACGTCCCCAAATTAACTTGCTCCAGTATTTGTTCTCCCGATAACTCCACAGGTTTAGACCGATTCTCAATGTCACCGTTGAATAGCTTACTTCTATGCCAATTATGGTTCTCAAGTAAGTACCGCCGAGTACCCATAAACCCTATCTTATTGCGCAAACGCTGAGATAATGCATCCACGTTACAATTAGGGCAGGCCAAGTAACCTTTTGTACTCCAACCAGACAACGAACCATATGCAGGGAAATCGTTGATGGTCCACATGACTGCTGCATGCATTGTAAATATTTGGCCGGTAGAGGCATCATATGTTTCCACACCATGCTCCCACAGATTAGTTAACTCTTCTACTAATGGTTGCAAGTAAACATCGATATCCCTTCCAGGTGCAGATCGTTCGGGAATAAGCAATGACATCATGAGAAATGGATCTTTCATACACTTCCATGGGGGTAGATTGTAAGGCATTAAGATTACGGGCCACATGCTATACGATGTACTCATATGTCCGAATGGATTGAAACCATCCGTGGCAAGCCCTAGCCGTACATTCCGAGGATCCGTAGAGAACGTAGGATGCAACCTATCAAAGTCCTTCCATGCCTCACCATCAGCTGGATGTCGCAATACTCCATCATCCACACGCTTATCTTTGTGTCATCTCATATCTGCAGCTGTTTTTTTCGACATGTAAAATCTCTTCAACCTCAGTGTCAAAGGAAAGTACCTCAGTATTTTCTTTGGAATTTTTTTACCCGTCTTGTCGTTCAACTTGTATCTAGACTCCGTACATGTAGAGCAATTCTCCAATGTGGCGTTGTCCTTCCAAAATAAAGTACAATCATTTTTGCATGCATGAATGGGCTCATATCCCAAACCCAACTCACGTAAGAACTTTTTCGCTTCATAAAGGGTCCATGGAACATTTTCATCACACTTTGGGAGAATGTCTTTGAAAACTTGCATAATCATATCGATAGATTTGTTGCTCCATTTATTGTACACCTTCACGTGAAGCATCTTAATTACGAAGGACAAGATGGAGAACTTTTCACACTCTGGATATACTTGACGTTGAGCATCATTGAACAACTTCTTGAACTTAAACAAATTGTGCCTCTCCGAACTAGTACGTTCTTTGTCAATTTGATCATCCATGAGACTACTCATGTAAATCTCTTGTAATATGGTTAGAGGTTCATCCACATTTTCGTGATTGGTTGTCATTCCAGCTCGGTCGGTTTAAGTATCATCGTTTCGCATAGTAGGATGATCACGAAATAGAGGAACACGTTTCCCGTGGTGGACCCAAGTGCGATAAGAACATGCGATTCCTCTTCAAAGCAAGTACAATCGTACAACATGTCGAGGTAATTTCGTGTCGTTCAAGCAATCAACACAAGGACAACGGATTTCATCCTACGGCCCTAAATTCTTCGTAGCGAACTCCATAAATGACTGAACACCTTGTACATACTCTTTACTTTTTAGCCTATCTGTTATCATCATCCAACTCTTGTCCATTCTTGGAATAGTACACATCAAGCGAAGATGAACCTGGGAATCGACAGGGAATTGGAAAAATACTCTGTAATGGAAGAGAGCTTAAGTAAGTTTAGATGCATGAATGGGCTCATATCCCAAACCCAACTCACGTAAGAACTTTTTCGCTTCATAAAGGGTCCATGGAACATTTTCATGACACTTTGGGAGAATGTCTTTGAAAACTTGCATAACCATATCGAAAGATTTGTTGCTCCATTTATTGTACACCTTCACGTGAAGCATCTTAATTACGAAGGACAAGATGGAAAACTTTTCACACTCTGGATATACTTTACGTTGAGCATCATCGAACAACTTCATGAACTTAAACAAATTGTGCCTCTCCGAACTAGTACGTTCTCCGTCGATAGGATCATCCATGAGACCACTCATGTAAATCTCTTGTAACATGGTTGGAAGTTCATCCACATTTTCGTGATTGGTTGTCATTCCAGCTCGGTCGGTTTGAGTGTCATCGTTTCGCATAGTAGGATGACCACGAAATAGGGGGACACGTTCCCCGTGGTGGACCCAAGTGCGATAAGAACATGCGATTCCTCTTCGAAGCAAGTGCAACCGTACAACATGTCGAGGTAATTTCGTGCCGTTCAAGCAATCAACACAAGGACAACGGATTTCATCCTGCGGCCCTAAATTCTTCGTAGCGAACTCCAAAAATGACTGAACACCTTGTACATACTCTTTGCTTTTTAGCCTATCTGTTATCATCATCCAACTCTTGTCCATTCTTGGAACAGTACACATCAAGCGAAGATGAACCTGGGAATCGACAGGGAATTGGAAAAATACTCTGTAATGGAAGAGAGCTTAAGTAAGTTTAGCAAATTGATTAGCATTGCTTTTTGAAGTGAAGAAAATAGTAATAACAGATCGGTCTCATGGATGATCATAAGAAATCATTAATCTTTTTCAAATTTTCTGCTCACTTTAGCTTTTTCAAATCTGTGGCTCCTTTTCTCTGGAAGCTTGTAAAATGTAACCTTTTATCCCTTTCAGACAAACCAAATGTACACAACTTTAATCTGAACCATCAAGATTTTTCTTTAAAGAAACAATAATGCACTAATGTCAAGTATATTTGAGGTGTATCTTGCAAAAAGAAGGCTTGAACCCTTGATACATTTAGATAGGAACACCAACAATGGCCACTGTCACTTTCTTCTCATTATAAAATGGGCTTATTTATTATTGCATAGCTCATATTCTCAATTTAGATTGCCACAAAAAAATTACAAAAAGAGAAAAAACAACATATTTCATCAATCTCAGAAACACTTTGTCTTTAACTTTGAAAACTCTTTCTCACATATTTTCAAAAAAATTTCACTTTGATTTTGATATTAAACAATATCTCAACAACTAGAATTTAGCATTTTTCACTCTAATTTTGACATTAAACAATATTACAGGAGCACTCAAGAACTAGAGATGGCCCAAGCCTATTGAGGGCCTAGACAAATGAAATGTAGTTAGAATATGGTTTGGTGCCTTACATTGGCCATTGCCATTCTATTATTGTCCCCATTCTACAGTAAGATAGTGCAACTTCTTGTGCAACTTAGATTGTGAAGTTAGGTGCTTTCAGAATCAACGGTATGGTTGAAAGGGTACAGCTATCCCGGGAGATCCGAGAGATTATTTTTCATCTGTTTTCAACAAATTATGAGTGAAAGGACGACCATGTTCTGTAATCGTCATATTGACCAGATTATCGTCTATTGTTTCTATGGAGTTCCAAAGGTTTGCAGTACAAAAATGTGAGAGTATTTAGGATATTGATTAATCACACTTTGTAATCCAAATTTCTTATGTGCTGGCCACAGATTTCTGAACTAAGGCTGACTTTTAAAGAAATTATTTTCAACTATAGAAATGAACGACAGTGTAAACCTCAAGTTTTTCGTAGTGTGTTTCTTAATTGGTCATCAACACGCCGTGATGGGGTATGTGTTCATAATGTATACGTTTTTAAAAAAAAACAAATTCTTTTACTTAATTCGAATTTGAGTCACACCATCGGAACATTTGGAACATTTTCGATACAAAAAACAGATGCACATTTATAATGATAAGACTAAATCAGGAAAAGCATCCAAAATCAACAAGTGTGTTCAAAAAACAGAGGCACATTTCGAACATTTTCGAACCGATTTGGAACATTTCTCCAAAACAGAGGCAGATTTAAACGATACAAAAAGAATCCAAATCCAAAATCCAAATGGACAATCCGCAATGTCAACCACACCCATTCACGAAGTCAGGAAAAGCCCTAAAAATTTGTGTACGAAATAAATGGAAAATGAAAGGACAAAAACATGTCAAACCCTAAAATTAATCGTGAGAGAAGGGGATGGGAGAGACATCGACAACCAGATAGAACCAGATCGACAGAGAGGGAGAGAGACGCAGAAACATACCTGCGATGCTGATGATCGCCGATTTGCAGTGGTGCTGGTGGCGAGCGTCGGTGGCCTGCGATGGTGATGATCGCCGGTGGTGAGCGACGGGTTTGGTAGGGACGGGTTTGGTATGTTCATGTCGGTGTGTGAGAGTGAGACAAAAGACTCTGTGTGTAATATATATGTACTGGGCGCGAAAATTACTTATTTTCCCTCTAAAAAAAAATTCGAACATTTCGCGACTAAATGACAATTTGTCGCCAAAATGCATGTTTGGCGACAAAAAATTGGTCACCTAAAGATGCCTTTTTGGCTACTAAATTCAAAAATTCGTCGGCAATACTGAATATACAACGACGAACCCAGATTTGGATGTCAAAAAGTAATCACAAAAATGCCCTTTTTTAGGCGACAAAACTGTTTAGTCGCCAAATTAAACCATACGGCGACAAACAGCGACTAAAGGGAAATTTGGTCGCCAATGATACTATATGGCGACTAAAATACTTTAGTAGCTAAAAGTTTTCAATCAATGCCGACTGAAATTGATATTTAGTCGATGAATGTGGTGTTTTTGGCGACTAAAATTGGTTTGGTCGCCAATTTTAGTCGCCAAACATGCATTTTCTTGTAGTGGAGTGTGGGTTCACACACATATAAGACATTTGTTAAAAATGTTAGGATCTCTATCATTTTCCAAAAACACTTGGTAAATCAAATACAAGGAATCCAGAAGGAGATTGAAATTACAAAGACTTCACTATCATATATATTTTCAAATTCAAGAACTTTGATAGCAAAAGCAAAAGAAAAACAAATTGCAAATGCATAGCCCTTAAGCAATCCAACAAATCTTACAAACTATTTGCTCTTTGAGAGCTAGCAGCTGAGAGGAATGCGATCAACTAAAGTGTCATTGTCGCATGGGTCAAGTGCAAAATAGTAAAACTTTGAAATATGAAACAGTTCTCGCCTTAACAATATGATAAATGTCATATCAGTAACGATATTGCTTTTACCGAGAAGTGAAGGCCAGTATGTCTTGATTGCGTTCAAATTCAACCATGTCCTTCTCAGCCAAGCTCACCCAGGCATCAATTCCACCACCACACTTATTTTCTATCAGACAAACCACTTCATAATTGCATGTACTACTCACCCAAACAGGCTTTCCCCACCCAAAATCAGCCTCATACAAAGGCAGCCCACACCAACTAGCACACAAGTGAACATCCACACTCTGGTTATGATGTTTCTCTCTTCTTGGTTCTCCGAAAGACCTACTCACCATCGCACAAAGATCATCCACACTATTCATTTTTGCAGGATCAACATCCCTCCTTGCATTGCCCAACAGACTCACTAAGTCACCCAACTCCATCTTCTTCTCATCGGCCACGAATCGCTCGCTAAAAAGCATCGAAAGGTTCCCAAAACAATTATCTGGCGTGGAAATCGCAGTGTTACCTCTCAAATTCATTGGATGGACGAGCAAAGAGTCCCTTAAGTGTCCGTGTTTCGCTTGTGCCACCCCGATGAGAGACTTCCATATGAGTGCTGCCACAACCGCCACCCGGGTAGGCGGTCTCAGGGCAGAGATACAAGCGGGCCGGGCTTTCTCTATCAAGGCCTGTATTGCCACCCCACCGAAAAAGAACCTTTTCATGACAATCTTGGCTTGGGCTTTCGCAGTGGTGGAAGGAGGATTCGGAGGCAACAGATCGCTTGCCGGGAAAAGAGAGCCCAACTCGAAACTCGGGCTGATCACATCTTCGATCCCGGCTTTATTCGCAGCAGCCCACCCATTAACAAACGTGATGATTGAAAATGCATCAGCAACTTTGTGTGAAACACTCACTCCGACCACTAGCCCGCCGCAGTCAAACGTGTTGACCTGAATCTCCACCAGCGGACCGCCAATGTCCAATGGTAAAAACTGATTGAGAAGATCGGCATTGGGCCCACCGTGAAGAAAATCATCCAGCTGTCCGTTTACACGAGTTCTAATAAAGTGAACCCCTTCGTCGTTGCAGTAAATCAAAAGATCACCCTTTACTAATCTCCCGGCAAGCGGGTAAAATTTGGTCAGGGTTTGAGCTAATGATTGTTCCAATTGTGCACATCTTTCATTGTCGTCTACTTTGGTGCATGAAGAGTAGTAGAATATCATGTTGAGGTATGTGGGAGGAATAAGCTGATCCATGAAAGATAGCTTGAGATGATGACGTGCAGTTGGAGTTGATGGTTTTATCAACTTCTTGGAAAGGATTTGAGGCTTCATCATGATAGTCGTGAAGAGTTTGTTTGTTGTTGTTGTTTTTTTTTTTTTTTTGGGAGAGAGGAAAGAAGAGATAAGATTAGTTGACTAGGATTTTGATGTCCATTATGATCATTTTACTTTAAGATATAATTGTTAATAAAATTTCATTAAGTGTGTGTACTGAGATAAGTAAATACATAGAAATAGAATTTTTCAAGGGTGCTAAGAAAAAAATTAGGCGCAAATAGCACTACTCTTTTGAATTGCCTATTAATTTTTTATAATCAATAAATAAGAGGGGGGGGAAACAATGTAATAAATAAGATAATAAAGTGATCAACAACCATATGTCATTATATTGAACTAGATTATATTCCTATGATAACATTGGTGTTGAATATTCACTCTGAAAATTGTTTGTACTTTTAAAAAGTCATATAAATTACTAATATAATATCGTGTTAACTTATATATGTGCAACTTTAATAAAGTTACAGTATACTTCTTACATTTATCATTTTCCCAGTTAGACCATGTTTGTTTGAACGGACTGGATTAACATTCTCATGACTAATAATCCTACGACCCGTTAGATTATGTATCCTATCTTAACTAATAGTCAAGTTTAAAATAATTAATCCCTACTTCAATTGTTTAACCAAACATCGGATAATTCATGCTTATCCCATTTTAGTCCAATCCCAAGCTCATG